GTATATATATATTATATATATATATATATATATATATATATATACACATATATATACTAATGTTAGTTATAAATATAGTTGTAAATATATAAGAAATAAAAATTTAATTATTCTATTAAAATTTTTTAATTATTTTCCATGATATAGCTGTTTTATTTTGGAAAAAAATAAAAATCAAATATTATTTATATAAATTATGAATTAAAATATATTAAATATTTTTAAAATATACTTATAATATAAATAAAAACTTTAAAAATATAATTTAATTGAAATATAGATATTTATTAAAATGTTTTTATAAATCATTTTTACAATTTTGTAAAAAATGTAAAATAATGTATAGAATAAAATATCTTACATAAGAAAAATATTATCATCTGCAACCATAATTTGATTTGCATCAGACATTTTATTAATTGCAGCAGTAATTTCATTAGATGTAAATTCTTGACTTTGTTGATTATTTATATATTCGCGTACTCTAGATAATGGAAGTGATTGTGCTCTTTGTTGTTGAAATAATTTATAAAGAAGTGTTCTAAAAACTTTCAATCTAAAATTACAGAATATGTATATAATATTGAGATATTTTTTAAAAATAATAAAAGATTAAAAATAATTTAAATATACCTTTCTTCATTAATGATACTAAGAGTTTCTGGTAATAATGGTAATCTAATACAATCAGAATCAGGTGCTGATGATTGGTTTGAACTTGAATCAGTTGTTTTCATTTGTGCTCTAGTAATTCTTTTTGCAGCTTCATCAATATAACTATCATCGTCGCTTTCAAAGTTATATGGATCTTGATCTTGTAAAGTTTCTTTTACTTTTTTTGCTACGTTTTTTCTTTTTTTCGTTTTGATTTTCTCCATCTGTACTTTCTTCACTATCATTTCGTCTTCGTTTTTTCTTTTCTTTTTCCAATACTCGTTTAAAATAAGCAAACTCTACCAATTCTATCGCTGCATGTGCATCTTCTGCGGTAACATTTTTTGATAAACGAGCTTTTGCATGTGCGGTAGATAACCGAATCAGTGTTTCTAAAGTACGAGCTGTTACAGGTTGAGTCTAATATGAAATAATAAAAAATTAATGAAATAATGAATAAATGAAAATTTCTATTAAATAATAATATAATAAAAAAATAAGAAAAATTATTTACTCTTGCTGTGTCAGAATCTATTGATTCTTCTGATCGTAATTTTGAATATTCAGCAGCAATTACTTCACTAGCTTCTTCTGTGAGCTTTGGTTTCATACAACGAGCTATATGAATATATTTTCTCATAAAATTTATGGTTAAAATTTGATCACTAAAAATACATTATTATTATACAAAGAATTATGTTATTATAAATTTAAATTTAAAAATAGAAATTATTATTAAGTATACCTTTTAGATTGCAATAATCCATGTAATAAGGGATCATATTTCTGATAAATTTGAGTCTCTGTTTCTTCAAAAAGAATTTGATCTGGATTTTTTGTAGTTAATATATCTATTTTACTACCTAGAGGTAATGCTTCTCCATCCTGTTCTTTTGAATTTCTGTATCTATGCATTCTAACAACATGTTCACTAATCATTTGATCTTGTTCAGAATCTACAATATCTAACATGACAAATAATAAATCGAAACGAGAAAGCAATGAATCTTGGAGACCAATATTTTCCATTGGTGTTTTATACTGATCATACTAAAAAAAAAAAATTATTAATATAACAAAAATATGTTAATGTATATTTAATTTTTTAATTAATATAAAATTTACTCTTCCATAAACTGGATTTGCAGCTGCCAATACTGAACATCGTGCATTTAAACTAGCATGTATTCCTGCTTTAGCAATTGTTACTTTTCCTTGTTCCATTACTTCATGGATAGCTGTTCTATCAATATCTGACATTTTATCAAACTCATCTATACAAATAATTCCGCGATCTGCTAATACCATAGCTCCAGCTTCAAGTCGACGTTCTCCTGTCTCATTGTCTACAGTAACAGCAGCTGTTAAACCCACACCAGATGATCCTCTACCAGTAGTTGGTATTGCTCTCGGAGCAGTACATAAAACATAACGCAAAAGTTGTGATTTTGCAACAGATGGATCACCAATAAGCAGAATATTAATGTCTCTACAAATTAAATTAGCAATTTAGATTAATAATTAGATTTCAATTTCTTTAAATAAAATTTATTATAGAGAATGTTAATATATTCGTAAGACTTTGAAGAAAAAAGAAGAAAGTGGATTTTAAACATCAAAATAAATACAAAAGTTGATATAATATCAGTTGAGATTTATTTATTAAATATATTAAATATTTATATTAAATTTAATAAATAATAATCATTTAAAATTACATTAAATGAATCATGAATCGAGATGGAGATAGAATAAAATAGTTTTATTTTCATCATATTATTTCATTATTTTTCTTTTTGCTTCATTTAATGTGAATTTAAATTGCTAATAATGCAATAATAAAATTTTTTAAATAATTTTAAATAAAATTATCAATGTTTTATTATTATTATTATATTAATCTTTATAATAAATTTTTCAAAAATATCTCTCGAATATATTAATATTCTATATAATATATATAATTATATATGTAACTATATATAACATATAGTTTAAAATATTTTACCCTCTTAATCTTGTACCATTAGGTAATAATTTCTCAACACCACCGAGTAATAAACATAAAATTGCTTTTTTTACATAATCATGTCCATGAATAGAAGGTGCTAGTGATCTACTGAGTAACTCAAAAATATTTTTACATGGATTATTTTTTGCAAGTTTTTTACACATAGCAACATCATCATGTGAAATAGATAGATTAGCTTCTTTGCTTAATTGCATAATATTGTTAGCAATTAAAATTGTTCTACAAAAATAGTTTTTATATTTATTTATCTCAATATTATTTTAAAAATTATTATATCAAATATATTTATTATATAATAATTTATATTATATAATATCAATATAATCAATATACTTAAAAGTTCCTGTTGTATATCCTCCTTGTTTACCAGGTAAACATCTGAAACTTCCAACAATCTGAACTCTATCTCCAGGTTTACAAAGATCTACTAAATCATTATCACATATCACATCTATGCTTCTCGGTAACTGACCAGTTGGTGCTTTTTCTGGCATTTCTTGAATAGTCAATGTTTGATGATCTTTATATGTAGAAAGACCAAATTCTGTTTCTAATGGATTACCATCTTCATCCTATATTTCAAAAATGTTAGAAATATATGTGAAATATATTTTTTACTTTTAAATTATACATAAGAATATATATAAAAAATATATAAATTAGAAATTACTGTAGTTGGGTACACAGCAGATTGTGGAAATGCTTCAAAAGATGTAAAATCAGAATAAGTTCTTTCCATTACTGTTTTTGTGACACTACAATAATGAACACTTCTTACAACCTTTGGACGTACCAAGGAACCTTATAAAATTCAAAAAATCTAACTTCAGAATCAAAATAATAAAATTCATACATAAAATTCATATAAAGAATTTTAACTTACATTTTGTGACTATACCTTCTACACAAACTAAGTTACCTAAAAAATTTGAGGTAAGAGTTCTTGGTGTAACATGTTTGTTTCCAAAGCTTCCTTCAAATGCTATAAAAAGATCTTCTTTCACATAATTTGCATCAATATTTGTAACAAATTGTTTCAATGCATTTTGAAAAGCTTGATGTTCTTCGAAAGAATTATTTAATAGACTATAAAATAAATTGAAATTAATGTTTTATGAAAATATATTATTCTTATTATAAGGATAATATAATTAAGATATATCTAAAAAAATAAAAACTAAAAATGAATAAATTAAATATAATGTACTTTGCTGCACGAGCAGGATTTTTTTTTCGTAAATCGTTAACATTTATATATAATCTGTGATTGCCTTCTTCAATCATATTTTTGACAAGAGTAGTATAAATGCCTTGATCCTCCTAAACAATGGTACAATGGTAAAAAAAATAATTTTGTATTAATACATGTATATCTAATAATTATATCATTACTAATATAAATTTACATACCATGTCATCTAAAAAATCTACATATTCCCTTTGTATTTCTTCCAATCTTTGATCTCGATCAATGATATCCATTGTTATATTAATTTTATTATTTTAATATCTAAAAATATTTAATAAATATAGAATTTAAGATATATACTAGCTAACAAATAAATTTCCATAATAGTTTACGCGGGAATGCAAGAACTATATCATTTTTGAATCGATATATTTTAAAGAATCGATATTTTCATATTTCGATACAAATTTATATACTTTCTATAATGTCAGTATAATTCTAAAATTGTAATTATATTTATAATTATTCAATTATTTTGTTAAAAAGTTCATAGTAATAAAAAATTTAATTAAAAAAATAATAATCGAGTTTTGCACAAGAGAAATAATACACTTTTTATTTTTTGGAGAAGATGCTTTTTTAACCTAAACTGTTGTATAATATATTGCAGAAAAACTATATCATATAATCGGATATACTATAAAATATCTTCAAATAATCGATTTTAGACATTAAATATAAAATTTGATATATAATAATGTTAATTAAAACATATTTTTCAAATTATGAATTATTTAATTTTGTATTAGAAACATTTATATATAAATAATTATTAATCATCAAAATTTACAAGGAATATAATAGTATTTATAATTAAATATGCCTTACTGATTTCAATGAAATTTGATAAGATGATAATTTTATACGTAAAAAAAACAACATAAATAAATACTTTTAATTGTAGAATTTAACAAATTATAAAAAAAATATTAAAATTTGAGAAAAACTTATTTATTTTTTTAATATATATCAGATAAAAAAATGACTATAAAATGACTAAAAATGTCAATAAAATAATCTAAAAAATTTATTTTAATTCTTAATATATTGAAACTATTTAAATAGAAAGACAATACTACATTATATATTAATAATAAAATAAAGGATTATTAAAATATTGAAATTTTTATATATATATATTTTTTTTAATCTTTATGCAGAAATATAATTCACATAAGATTTTCAAATAAATTGTAGAAATATATTTCAAAATCACTTAATATATAAACATTATTTAGAAATTAAAGTAAATGATATGTTTGCTGGCAGAATTTATATGTGCTATTAAATTACAATTTTATATTTATATTGTAAATATGTACAGAAGCTAAAAATTAGTTTTTTATTTTCATTATATTTTTCATTTCTATTTACTTTTGTTATTAAAGTTAAAAGTCTTAAGTAATAAGATTTTTATTGTTCTTTAATTTCATATTACGTATTTTGATTGATTAAAAGCAGTTTATATTATTATAATTAATATTAATATTAATACAATATGAAAAATCAATGTGATTTTTTGTTTTTTTTTGTTTTCAATATTTCAATCTTTCATATTATCTTTCACATTATACATAAATGATCACATTGTATACATAAAGTTGTATATGTTGTGTTTCTAGATGCTTAATGTATACAGTTTAGATTGAAATATAATTAGACGAAAATACTTTGAGCATAATTGGTATTTTTTTATAATTTAATGTCATCCAATTTGCTTTTCATGAATTCCATTTTCTTGCAGTTTTAATGGTTTTATTACATCAATTTCATTTAGTTGTTCTATATCTAATTGTTGCTTTTTTATTTTCTTCGATTTCCTAAAATTATGTAAGTTATATAAATTATTAGTTTTATAAAATCAGAACAAAAAGTTATATATTCACATACATTCCGAATAATTCACCATCTTGTATAGATTCTGGAAGTTTTTTATTTAATGTTTCTGGAAGGAGTAATGACATCGCTCCACCAAAAAGTACGCACGATCCGAAAATAACAAATGGTAAAGGCATCCAGATTTCAGACTGTAACAATATAATTGTTAATTGATGAATATATTCAAAATAATTAGAAAATCAAAATTATAAATTACCAAGTGAATGACATATGGAGCAATTACACCACCAATTCGTGCAAAAGTTGAACTTGCTCCAAGACCAACATTTCGAATAACCGTAGGAAACTGTTCAGCAGTAAAAACATAAATAGCGCCATACGATGATGTAATCGTGAGCTTACCGATCATTGCTAAACATACTATGAGCCATTGAGAATCTGAAAATATTCATAAATTAATAATATAATCAATGATAATTTTATTATTAATACATGCAATAATGTATGAGACATAAATATAAAGATTGTAAAGAAATTTATAAAAAAATTATTTATTTGAATTTTTATTTAAATTTATATTATTTTTTTTTCAATATATTCTTCTTTAACACATATTTACATAATCTAATATTATTTAATTTCATTGTTTAAAACAATATTTAAGTTTTTCCTTCAAAATATTTTTGTTATTTCCCATTGTTTCCTATAAATAGATTTATTATTATTTTTATTATATATATTCATTATTATATTTTTATTATATCTTCTTCTTTATTCATAGGTTTATATTCAATTATGAAATTATATTCATAAACTCATGATTCATCATCAAATATTATCATATTGATAAAATCTAGATTTTCAATCATCCAATAAAAATAATATAGAATAATTTTTATATCAAGTTTCTACATGTTTCATAAAAATTCATAAAATTTTATAAAATTGATTCATAAAATTTATACACTTTTTTTGTTGATATTAAGTTATTCATTGAATATTCAAATAGTATTCTTTTATCAATCAGTGCAAAATCATGTTGAATAGTTTTGTATGGAAAAAGTGAATCAAAAATTATATTCATTATCTTTTATGTATTTTTTTTATCTATGTTTGAATTATTCTTTTTTGATTGATTAATTCTTTGCCCTTTTAAAAGATTTTTAGACTTGTTAGGTTTGCATGAACAATAAGTTTTTATTAAAATTAATATATATTTTAATGTATATAAATGAAAAATATTATATCATATTATATAGTTCTGAAATTTGAATTAAAATTTGTGAAATTTAATCAACATTATCAGTTATTATGATTCAATAGAAGAAAATTGCCGGTTTTTTCCAGAAAAACAAAAAATATTCTACAAATTTTTTCTACATAACTATTTCAATAATATTTATCAAAAACAAAAATAATAAAAATATAATTTTTTTTTACTAACCAACAGGTACAAGCAAAATACCAAGTAGTGAAAGTCCAGATATTAGCATACAACCACATAAGATGATTTTTCTACCCCAACGGTTTAATGTGAAAATTAAAAACGTATACGCAGGTATTTCAACAAGTCCGGAAATAACAAAATTAACGTAATCATTGCCACCAAGATTAGACACATGCCAAGATAGTCCATAATATGTACCACTATTTACAAGCCTAAAAATAAAAAAAATAATTTTCTTTATGAATAAATATGATAAGAATAATTATGAAAACTGCAAAGAGAATTGAAATAAAAATTACCAATTAAAGAATAGCAGAATACTTTTTCGTCTTAAATTTGGATAACGAAAAAGATCAAATAATGATGGTTTCTTAAAATCTGGTGCACTTTCTTCACTATTATTATTAAGAAGTGTATCTAGAGCTTCACTTTGCATCTCTACGCCATTTTCCGAAGAGGCTCGTTGAAGAAGATCTTTTGCTTCTTGAATCCGACCTTTCGTTAATAACCAACGAGCGGATTCAGGAATGAACCTTGAATAAAATTGAAAAAAAAATATTTAAAAAAATAAATAAAAAAATATAATTTTATTTAATAATTTAAATGAGAAATATTGTCTTACCACCAATAAAAAGAAATGCAATACTAGGTACAGTGATAGCGACTTGTAGCATTCTCCAATCAGTTATAAAATATGCGAAACCAGCAGTTAAAATATATCCAGTTGTGAAGAATAATTGACAGCCAACTCCAGCTACCAAACGCTTCCTTGGACCTACCATTTCCAAGGCTGAAAGGCAACGTTGTCGTTCTCATTGTCAGTATTATAACACTATAATATTAAATGATACCAGTAAAGAATGCATGGGATTCATTTAGTGTAAAGATTTGTAAATTTTACCTATTACGTAGGCCACCAAAAAAACTCCACTAGTAGTTGAACCTACTATTAACCTGAAGATTACATAGGAAATAAACTCGGGTGAAATTGCGACTAGTATACCACCAACTAACTGTATAACTAAAGACAGGAAAAAAATTGGTCTACGTCCAAATTTGTCAGACAAAGCACCAAAAATCATCGAGCCAAGCATAACTCCTACCATGAATAACGAATCCCCCGTAGCTCTTAACCATGCCTTATCACAAATTAAATTCCACTGAAAAAATAAAAAAAAAGCTTCTTATTATTTTTAAAAATAATATTCTATTTAGTTAAATTGATAATTAATAAATGAAAATTGTATAAAAAATTTTAGATTTAAAATTTTAATAATAATTTAGATTTATTATTTTTAATAAAAAAAATATGTATATATTTACCTCAGAAGTAGTGGTACTTTTATATTTGCTTCTATCATAGACATATGCCTCGCATGGCTGCAGTGCTTGAATATTATTTGAAATGAATGGTTTTTGGTTAAATGAATCATCTGTATTGATATGTCTATTAATCATTGTCTCGTTAAAAATATTAAAAATATCCAATCTGTAACACTGTAATAATTCTTGCTGATTGTAATCTAACGGATAACTCGTATTCATCATATATGGAGATAAAAAATATGTGGCATTCTCCAAATTTTCATGTGGTAACAAACATCTAGAATGAAAATTTAATATTTTTATAAAAATATAATTTATTATATAAAAATATAATCTATTATATAGACTACTTAATTAATTATTTATATACAATTAATTATATACAAATAAAATATTCTATTTGAATTGATAGATTTAATTCTCACCGGGCATTCATTTTCGCGCTCAAAAAGACACCAGCGATTTTATGAAAAGCGCAAGATATTGCTGGTAAACAAAGCAACAAATAAATTCTGCGCTGATAGTGGCCAAATTCTCCCATTTGAAGTATAACATCATCATACGCCATTTTTCTTTGATATTTCTAATTCTTCTCCGTTTGCGTCTCCAAATCCCCGTAGCTTTTCTATTCGAGGAATTGCTTTTAAAGCAATTTTTTTCTCTCGCTGAATCCGTTTCGCCGGAAATAATAATTTCTTGTCGCAAGGAAATCTTCAGACCTATTGTCTCGATAAATCAATTCAAATATTTAATTTCTAATTTGAAAAAGCTTCTTTTATTTTCTCTTCTATCTCTTCTTTTAAAAAATGAGTTTTTATTTTTTTTAAAAACTTCGCATATATTTTTTTATTTTTTTTTATTTAAAGTTTTAATTTTCTTAAATATCTTTAATTCATAACAAGTTAAAAGTTTGTGAATACTATATCATTTTTATTTAATAAAAATAAAAATTTATTATTACCGATAAAATAGTATACCGATAAATAGTATATATATTTTAAGGTTAATTTTATTTAATGCTATAAGCATTCAAATGTTGAGCTGAACGACTTTAATAGTTTCAGATGATCTGAAGAATCTAGGAGTTGATGATTGTATTGATTCAGATTGATGTACGTGGATCTTCCTCTTTCACACTGAAATTCAGAAATTCAGTAAGTTCATTCTCCAAATCAATCCTAATATAAACTTAAATATTTAATATGATATTATTAGTCGATTATTTATAATTATTTATTAAGTAATATAATAATATATTAATTAAAAGTAATTAAGTAATATAGTTCAAAATTAGTTTGATACTTAAGAACATAAGAATTTTATTTATTTTATATTTAGTTGATATTTGTATGTAAATAATAATAAAATAATAATAATTTTAAAAAAGAATAAATAATATAAACTATTCATTAGTTTTATATAATTTGTTTAATTATAACTTTTTAATAATTTAAAAATGATTATTTTCTACTTGTAATATAAAAAAAAAATAATACAAAAGTTAAGATCAAAACATATATAACAGATGCTATAATTATCATGATAACAAGATGTAATTGTTTTAAAATGAAGGAATGCAAATCGATTTAATAACATCAAAAGTTTTCCATTCTCAAAGTTGATTTTAACGATAATAGCAAAGTATATTATGAATCATCAGGACTAACTTCACAGTGATATAAATGTCTTGTTCAGATAGAATGTTTTATAATTACTACATGATATGAAGTATTGCGATGTGAAATATGCGAATCATTAATAATTTAACAGATTTAATACTCATTTATTCAGTTTTAATATGTTTGTATCTAATCTACTTTAATTACAAAATGTTATCGAATACAAGTTTGACTAAAACATTTACGATAATATATACATAGATATCTCTATTTATTATAAAAATATATAATATATTATTAAGATTTTAATATATAAATATATAATACTGAGATTATAATGAATAATTTATCGGATAAAAATAATATAAGATAGGTATATGTCAAATCAGATAGACAAGAATATTTATAAAAGTTGATTTTTAAAATAGATTGATATGATACTATATAATAAATAAATTGAATTTATGAAGTGAAAGAAATTTGCTGTGCTAAATATATAGGGTGTTCCAAAAATGTAAGAACATTCATTAACTGAAGAATTAATTTCAAACAACATTTTCTTTTGCAAAAATTTTCGTTACGACTTTATTAATGAATTATTAATAAAAAATATTGACCAATCACTGAACGTGTAACCTAATCAAACCGCGACGATAATGTTGAGTATATACCGTTGATCACAAACAAGTTCAAGCAACATATGCTGAAAACATTAATGTTAAATAATATTAAATATTTTTTATCGATAAAAATTATATTGAATTATCGCGAACAACAAATAAACTATAATATTTAACATATTTTCTTCAACATATGTTGCTTAGACTTATTCGTGCTAATGGTACAATACAACTAACATTACCATCGTGAGTCAATTAGATTATGCATTTCATGATTATATTATTCATTGTTTTTCGTTAATAAAACCATAATGAAAGTTCTAAAAGAAAATATTAATTGAAATTATCTTAGGTTCAATCTTCAATCTTCTCTCAGTTAATTGATATTTTCATATTTTTGAGACAAGTTTCTATAAACTCATTTTAAATTCTCCTGTAAAATATATATTTTTATATAAGATGCGAGAAAAAAGTAATGAATCTAGTAAAAATATAAAATAAAAATATAAATAATGATATCTAAGGTTGCAAATTTTTTATTTTTTTTAAAATAATTTTAGAAATTTTATACAATGTTTATATCAGTCAATTATTAAAAAAATTTTTTATATAATATTTATGCTATCTATGCCAATTTTAAAGGTTTTAAAAAACTTAAAAATCTGTTTGAATTATAATAATTTTGTTTTGTATTGTAATTGTATTGTAATATATGTAATTGTTTTTTTATATTTTATTGGATATTAAGATTGGAATCATTTATCTTCCAATTTTAATTTTATTACATACAGATTTTATTACATTTTATTACATATGATTACATACAGAACTTTCTTTTTTATCTAAAAGTTATTATTGATATGTGCGTACAGATTCATTGTATTGAATTAGATTCATTGTATGCAACAATTGCCATCTATATTAGTAACGAAATTAAATGATTCTAATCTGATCTTAATATTTAATAAAGTTACAATGAAGATAATTAAATATAATTCAAGCAAAATGATTTTTAAAATCTTTCAAACAATTAAATAATCGATGTATATATATTATGTTGAATTATTTTTAAAAAATATTTTGAAAAAATAAAAAATTTGTAATTTTATATATTGTTATTTTTATTAATTTATTATTTATTATTTTTTTATTATATTGTATGTAAGTAATGAATTTGCTAAAATACAAAATTTTATAATTTATTTAAAAAGATAATTTGTAAATTATCTTGAATTTTTAATAACTAATATATTATATGTTTTATAATAACAAGTTTAATTTTTATACATTATTTTTTACAACAATAAAATTACATTATTATATATCTTTTAAAATAAGTTTTATAAATATGTATCAATGCTTATGAATAATAAGTCTTTAAAAAAAATTAATTGGCTAACAATTGCAATAACAAGCGAATATTAAAAAAAATATATTTTATATTATATTCATAAAAAAAATAATTTCCATCGAGATTGATTAGAGAAGTTTTTTATGAATTTAAAATTCAACTTGATTTTTATTCATAGATCCAATTAAAAAAATATTTCCAAAATATTTGTTATACCATTTATTATATATTTACCATATATTTTTGTTTTGCATTAAAACTGCAAGAAAATATAAAATTGAAAATCAATAAATTTTACATAAAAGAGATTAGATATATAGTAAAAAATTTAAATATTTATATTAATGAGTAAATATAATATGAATTTATGATAGATATGAACATGTGCAATATTATTTAAATTTCCCAATGAAAATATTTTATATATATGTTGTCACATTTTAAAAAATAGTTATCTGTTATTTACATTTATTCAATGAAATATAAATCAAACATATATTACATTAAACTAAAACTTTTCATATAATTATCAAATCATTTTTTATTTAAAAAATTCTATAATGCAGTTTTATAGGTTCTATAATTAAGCATCTACAATATAATTATTTTGATTTAAATTAAATTTTTAATTGAAAATTTTTTTAAATTAACTTAAATTTTATAACTTAAATTAATGAATAATTGAATAATTAATAGTTTTTTTCAAAAAAAATACAAAGTAATATGAAGCTATTCATGAAACTTTTCATTAATGATATGAATTTCATCTCTTATCATTTATTCCATCCTAAATGTATGTATTTAATAATAATAATAAAATGTATTTAATAAATGTATGTAATAAAATATATATAAATAAATACAAAATTATATGACTTCATTAATTACTTCTTAATATATCAAAATCTTTATAAAAATTTTTTTTAAAATATTTTCATTATATTATATAATTATTATTCAAATTTTATATTTTTTGTAAAATCATTACAAAATAAGTTCCTTTTTAAATTAAAAACTATATTCTATTTTTTACTATATTTTTTTTATTCTATATTATATTTTTCTAACTATTTTCGTTTATAAAATTTCAAGGAAGCATTAATGATCATATATAATGTATACATTTATACTATACATTCTATAACATGGTTTTATGGGTCACAAATATATATGGGTATTAAATATTCTAATTACATTTCGATAATTAAAAGAATCGTACGTGTTTCATACTCCATAATGTATTCACTTATATTGAAAGTTATTAGAAAAATTCACACATTTGTTAGAAAAATTCAGCAGATTAACGAACAAAAATTCAACAAAATATAAAACAATCTTGCACGCACTAAAGCCGAATGACGACTGACGGCGCTTTGGCCGATGATACACAGGAACTCAAGTAAATAGTATGACTCTCGGAGGTATAACAGTGGCGCCGCAACCACCATCATTTAATAATCGAACCTACCCTTCATATCTTCGATTTTCTTTTATGATCAATCGCGATTACCATCCTTTGGGATTTTTATCTGCCTTTCAAAACCGTTACGATTATTTAATTCAAATAATTATTTGAATATTGATCTATTTTAATCATGAAATAATAAAAAAAATTTAATTGTTGATATTTTATTATTTTCTTTAAAAAAATATCTTTTCAATTTTTTTTTTTTTTAATTATAACAGATTTTATATCTGATTCCTGATTTTCCTGATATTTTTAAATTCATTATGAATACTTTAAATTTTCGAATTAAAAATATACACTTTATACTTTTTTTGCTTCCTTTTAATTCATCCATAGTATCAAAAAAATTATATTTCATTAATATTTAAAAATGCTTGTTTTTCATTTTAAATTTCTTTATAATTTATTAAAAAAATTTATTTCTGATTATTAAATATCTAAATTTTTTTACCAAAGATTCTTATTTATAATTTTTTAAATCAATCGTCTTTTTGAATTTAATCTTAATGAGGAATCATTAAACCTGTTGCTTCTTGTCCAATCGCGTGACCGTGCTTAATTCGGACGTAAGAATGGAACGAACGGAAATCGTTTGTGTGAAGAACATGTTGAGATCATTGATGTAATAAAAACCCACTGTTTTTTTTTGCATTTTATTTTGCAGAAAATCTTTCATATTTCATATCTGTTATCTTAATACTTATATTATATGTAATGTATATATATAATAAATCCACAAAGAAAGAGAAATTTTTTTATTTTTTAATATTAACAATTTTTTTATTAGATCATATAACTAATAGTTCTATATTATTAATTTAAATTTTATATCACTTGCGGTCCATATATATATATATATGATGTTTTTTTTAAATTAAAAAAAATGTTTTAGAAATTATTGAGATATTAAATACAGTGAGGAACAAAACTTTTAGTATGATATTTTATAAAAAAATTCATATTAAATTAAAAAAAATGTTTTAGAATTATTGAAATATTAAACAGAAACAAAAATTTTAATATATCATAATATTTTATAAGAAAATTCACTCAAAAATTCTAATTCTGCTTGAGAATT